TAACCCACCTATCTATCCAGAGCGAAAATTGAAATATTTTTTTGAAACTCACTAGATATAGGTACCTACCTACCAGAAAATAGTAATGTGTGACAACTTATATCTCAAGAAAACACAGTAGACAGTTTGAATTTGTTGATAGATTTTCCAAATAATACTTATTTTTATATTTGAGAATTTATATTGTTATATTTGAAGTTGCCATGTCAAATTGAAAATATCACTATAGCTATAAGAATATCTAAAGTGGTTTTATGTAGAATAATGGAAATTTATTTATTGTTGACTATCGAAAGAATAATATTTATTTAATATAAACATGTTAAATACACTATGTGTATATTTATGTGATGAATTGAAGTATAGAAATGCACCTTGTATACCTATTTTATGTACCTAACTTTTCAACATGTCTTATAAAATATGTATAAATCATATTAATTTTATATCAAAAGTAATTTACAATCTTCTCATCCTGTATCCTATTATATTTTATTGAATATTATTGTATAATAAAAATGAAATATCATACTGAAGTAGGGGTATCTTAATTAGTCATGTCCAACATAAAGAAACGATTGTAGAGGAAGGTTATTGCCTCAAATAGAAAAAAAGCTGAGGGGAAGAATTTTATGTTGGGTGTATATAGAAATGAAGAGTTATAGGATACAGATTCCCATAACTCCGAAATTGAATGGAATGACATCATGAATAACTATTTCCCCTCACCGCGTTTTCTGATCGAGGCAACTTTCTATGCAAATGATCATCCCCATATGAAACTATATAATATCCGGATTAATAACCCCAATAATATAAGGGTGGCTGAAAACTCTGGGATCTCCGAACTCATCTCAAGATTACCACTCGAATGCAACTTCTTGCAATAGATTCATTTCAAATTCTGATTAATTTTCATAAAAAGTTTGTAGAAATTTCAAAATATATGGACTATCAATTCAAGAAAATTGATGGAAATGGATGATTTGTTCTAGCACAACAACAGAAAAAACTATGTTTCAAATTATAAAAAAGTCCGAATGCAATCATAATATTTTACTTTGACCTTCCACAATAGTCAGTATTTATTCTTCGAGATGGCTGAGTATAGATACATATGAGTTTGACTGCAGGATATTTCTCATCGGTTCAAGTAAAAAGTATGTGAAAATATTCAGTTACGAAAAAAAATCACTGGAAATTTGAATGTGACATGAACGTTTATTCCATCTCAAATACGTCAGAGTAATGAAGCATTCATGTGACTTACTTTTTTTTTTCAAACCTGTCAACTTGTACCTACTTGTTTCAATTATTGTTTCATTAAAATGTTAAAAATGTCTATTCATAATAGCTACTTTTCTCTTCACTACGATACAAAATGAAAGGCGTTCTCAAATTGATAAATCCACTTGTTTTTGATTGTGGATTGAATTATTGGCTGGCAAACTTGACACCAGCCTCGATGCTCTTCTAGAGTTCTGGCATAGCTTCCTTGACATCCTGTTCGAATCACTGTTTTCCCAGTCTCAGATTCTACTCGATACGACACTTGCCTAGATCGAGAGGAATAGCGAAATAGGGGCTTCAGCCCGTTACCATCGAGACAATAAAGGCCTGCATGCTCCGTGGTGACGTCACTTTAGTGAGGCCTAACCAGCGGCTCGAAACGACAAGGGCTTATTTATGGCGCTATAAGGCGACCGCGTATTTCAATTTTAGTTTTAGATCATTATTGAGCCAATTTTGATGTTTTTTTGAAGGGCTTCCGGTTAAAAAAGGATACCAGTCGTCAACTGAGCCCTTCTTCGCATCCCATTCGATTTTATTATGGAAAAACGGGAGTTCAAAGCAAAAACCAGAATAAAACACAAATACCCACCCCACCTACACATTCGAATTAAATATATTGGCAAAAATTGTGGTGAAGGTAAACTTCACACCTACTTATACAGGGCCCGCAAAACAAACTTATCGTGAGATTGTTTTCAATTTCCTGTTGTTGGATTTTTTACCCAATTGATCGTTAGACTTGAAACAGTAATTTTTAAGGGTAAAACTGCATTTATCATGCGATGTTTTTTTTTCGAAAATTTTTAAATGAATAAATAAATAAATAAATGCGCTGATTAAACGTACGACCTGTCTGATATACAGGGTGTCCTTAAAAGGTCTTTACAAAAAGCTACCACATATTCTTCAGACCAAAACAATTCGATACAAGCAAACTTACCTCAGTAAAAAGTTGCTTAGTTTGGGCGCTAGACGGCTCTGAAGTTGAAATTTTCAAATCGATTTTGCTTCATAACTTTTGAACGGCTCATGAGATTTTTTTCAAATTTGGTACGTTGGCATAGACTCATCGGGCAATGAAACTCATATCATAATCATAATGAATATCATTCCATGGGCGTAGAACTTGTTTTTTTCAGGAAATTAACATCTAAAACTTCTACGCCAATGGAAAAAAATTAGTTTCAATATGAAATCTAAATTATTCAACTCATTCACTACAAAAAAGGTACTCTTGACAAAAGTCGATTCCTCTTATGGTTTCGACAAAATTTTAATTTTAGTGATTTAGAGCATAATTAATAATAAAACGATTAACAGATATTTCATAAAAATTGTTCAAAATGTTCACCATTTTCACGTATACAAAGATTTATACGACGCAAAAAGTTGAAATGTACTCTTTGCATAACTTCTTCATCGCCTGTAAGATTATTCGTCGCCTGTTGGATACGTTGCCATAATTGTTCTACAGTATTCACAGGGGTCTTGTAAACCGTAGACTTGAGATAACCCCATACAAAATAATCCATCGGTGTTAAGTCTGGAGAACGTGGTGGCCAATTCACGGGTGCATCATTACCTCTACCTATCCATCTGTCTGGGTACTGTTGGTTTAAAAAATTCCTAACATCCACCGAAAAATGTGGTGGAGCTCCATCGTGCATAAACCACATATCTACCCGATGTTGGAGTGGTAAATCTTCCAACAAATTTGGCAACGTATTTCGTAGATGTTGTAAATACATGTCTCCTGTTAATCTTTGTGGAAGTATGACAGGACCATTTATAAAATTTCCTATTATTCCAGCCCAAACGTTGATTTTGAATTCGTGTTGAAAATGGTTTATTTTAATGGAATGAGGATTTTCAATTGCATAAACGTGTTCATTATGAAAATTAGTTATTCCTCTTCTCGTGAAACAGGCTTCATCAGTGAACAAAATATTCTTTCCAAAGTTCAGATTCATTTCTCTTTGCAAATTAATGAACCTACAAAACATCAGACGACTTTGTGAATCATGGATTAATAAATCTTGAACTGGCGTCTTGTGGTATGGGTATAATAATTGTTCTCTTAGTACTTCATGAACGGCATTCCTAGAAACTTCTAGTTCATTACTTATCCGTCTAGTACTCAATTCTGGATTTTCTCCAATACGGTCTAAAATTTCTACTTCGACTTCGGGAATCCTTACATAACGCTGTCTTCCATAATCACCAGTTCTAGGACCAAAATGACCGGTCTCCCGAAGACGTCTCTCAACTGCGGCAAAGGTTGGGTGGCTTGGTACGCGACGATTTGGAAACCTTACCGAATACACCCTCACACTCTCTCGACCATTTCCTTGACAATATCCGAATACCAATAACATATCGGTGTATTCTTCATTGGTGTATTGTACGGCCATGATAAATCAGAAAAGTCCGATATCAACAATCAACGTCAATAAAACTCGACAAATCAACACAGATGAAACTATGGAAACTAAGAATGTGAATATCACTGTTTTCGAGCAGATAATAATAGTCTTCAGAAAAAAAACCAGTGCTACTTATTTTCAATAGAAATAACCTATGCAAAAAGTACATCTCAACTTTTTGCGTTGTATAAATCTTTGTATACGTGAAAATGGTGAACATTTTGAACAATTTTTATGAAATATCTGTTAATCGTTTTATTATTGATTATGCTCTTAATCACTGAAATTAAAATTTTGTCGAAACCATTCGACCATTTGTCAAGAGTACCTTTTTTTGTAGTGAATGAGTTGAACAATCTAGATTTCATATTGAAACTAACTTTTTCCATTGGCGTAGGAGTTTTAGATGTTTATTTACTGAAAAAAGCAAGTTCTACGCCCATGGAATGATATTCATTATGATTAGGATTTCAACTTTTTGCGTCGTATAAATCTTTGTTCACGCGAAAATAGTGAACATTTTGGAAAACTTTCATGCAATATCTATCAATCGTTTTATTATTTAAATATGCGCGAAATCACTAAAACTTAAATATTGTCGAAACCATCAGAGTAATCGAATTTTATCAAGAGTACCTTTTTTGTAGTGAATGATTTGGGCTATCTAGATGTCATACTGAAACTGATTTTTTTTCATTGGCGTAGAAGTTTTAGATGTTTATTTCCTGAAAAAATCAAGTTCTACGCCCATGGAATGATATTCATTATGATTATGATATGAGTTTCATTGCCCGATGAGTCTATGCCAACGTACCAAATTTGAAAAAAATCTCATGAGCCGTTCCAAAGTTATGAAGCAAAATCGATTTGAAAATTTCAACTTCAGAGCCGTCTAGCGCCCAAACTAAGCAACTATTCACTGAGGTAAGTTTGCTTGTATCGAATTGTTTTGGTCTGAAGAATATGTGGTAGCTTTTTGTAAAGACCTTTTAAGGACACCCTGTATATCTTTGACCAAGATCCACAGTGGAGCGAAACATGGTGTGATTAAGAATTTTGTGTAAATGAATAAGATGTTCACTAGTAATTCTGAGGTTATAGTTATTGAAACAAAATAAAGTAAGTATATAAAACAATATATTTTCACATAATTTACAATGAACAGCATTCAGGTTTAATGCCTCATTCATTTGTAACTCACCAAACAATTTGGTTTGATAGTACCAAACAACTGTAGGTACTACCTGAAAAATATCAATTATAATAGGAAACTTCTTGTATTTTGATAATAAATTAGAATACTCAAGGAAACACTCAGGAAATGTTGAATTTGTTTCCATGCAGAACACAGAGTACCTATAATGAAGGCACAAGTGGAACAAGGATTTATATGACAATCTTCTGAAGAATTACGTCTTTTAGTAGATGAAAGATTCAAATACATCGACTTTTCAAGTGTGAGTTTCACTCTTGTATTGTACTAAATGAGGAAATTGAAGGATTTATGTAAGAATTCAATGGAAGTATCCATGTACAATTTCATTCATGATCATAAATACTTCATCCAGGAATATTGTGGACTTGAATCATTCATCCAGCAGAGATAACAGATTCATTTGAAATTCTGATGGAAGTATACTGTTCCGAGAAGTGAGGTTAAGTTAGGTGAAGCTCTCTTTTGAAATAGTCGGTGAAAATTTCTCAATTATCAATATAAACTATCAATTCAAGAATATTGATGGAAAACGAATAAATTACTCAAGCATAACAGGCAAAATAATGATCCAAATTATAGAAACACGCCATTCCACTTCAAAAACTCTTAGAGTAATGAAGCATTCATGTGACTTTTACAGATTTCTTCTTTCAAAATTGTCCACTTATACTTACCTGTTCCACATGCTTTTCTTCACTATGACACAAAGAAATGACATAACTTTGTAGCACATGAATGCTGCATCCACCCGTGCCTTCAATCGTGGATGGGATTATTGGTTGGCAAACTTGACACCAGCCTCGATGTTCTTTTTTAGTTCCGGTATAGCTTTCTTGAGGAGATCCTGTTCGAAATCGCTCAGATTTCCGAGTCCCAGATTCTTCTCGATACCGCACTTGCCGAGGACGAGAGGAGAGGCGAAATAGGGGGCTTCCGTCACGTCCGACATGACGTACGCTGGTTCGATGACGTTGCTCTCGCCATTCAGGCCTCGGAGAAGAGAGTTGGCGAATCGGGCACCGGCGTAGGCCATCGATAGGGTGGCAGAACCGGCACCTGCTTTCGCTTTCACGACCTGCAAGATGAATAGGCCTTTTCATCTAGATATATTTTTAAGACGCATAAGCTCGTTTTTAGATCCAAGAATTTATTGAGTGATGCGAAGGTGAAGTCTCATTGGCTATTCGCGAAAATCACGAAGTGTGCGGCCTCTGGTGGCTAACTGTACAAGTCTTCCGAGTATGAACAACAATAACAACAAATATGGCGACCATTGTTTTGACGAGTTTCATAATTATGTGTTTTACCTCATTTTTCCCTGATGAAAAAACTCGAATTATTGCATGAACTTTTATTGTTTACAATGAAGAAACCAGTACCTACCTTATAACAGCTTATAATGATATAATATACATTTTCTGGAGCACAATAAGAATCATTGTATAAATGTTGGTTGCAATGATTCAATCTTGAGAATAACTTCAAGTCCTCAATTGCTGGAGATCCTTGTTTATGTAAATCGATGATATTGTTCATTCTGAGCAGCCTCTCCAACCATATCTTCTTTTCCAACTCCTTCACTAGAATTCTATCTCCTTCATAAAAGCCAGTGATATTTCTTGATGAATTCAATTATTTCTTCATACCTATACCATATTGTTGTGATAGTTGATTCCTTATGGTAGTTATGGTTCCATTCCAATCCATGCAAGTGTTGAGTGGACCATTCCGACCATTCCATATGTTTGAAAACTGGAATTGTAGTGTGATATCAATGATGAATACCACCATCGTCCACATCAAAATGGCAATTTCTCGCTGCACAAAAGTAATTTTTTCCACACTGGAAACCTTGTACGTATTTCACGGAGTCAACTCATTATTCACTATTTTGCAAAATGATTTCGAAATAACCAATTTGCAATGAGTGCATACGGCAATGTTTTTGTTGTTCATACTCAGTTCGAAATTTGACGTTGATTTGACGTTTAATAGAGCCATCTATTGGTTCGTGATTTTCGCGAATAGTTCCAACACAAAATGCTGATTGGACATTTCGAATTTGGCGAGTATTATTGACTTTCTGTCAAATGTCAACAGTGTCAACCACCATGGGCATTCGTCATTGAGAAACAACAATAACAACATAGTATTTTTGTTTATATATTCCTGGTGTGTATTAATTGTATTATAATAATTTAATTCTAAAAAACGTTACTTATTTGTTACTGAGGAGTGTGGTACTGCGGTGTAAGTGTTTCGGTGAAAAAGGCCGCCACTGTCGTTGGATGCGAGATGTAAACAGAGATAGTAATTTGTCATCTAAATGAAAAGGCCTATTACATTGAAACCCCCGCACATTTAGTTCGGAAAATGGCTTTCGGCTAATTTTTCTGAAAATTTGATATGTTATTACTCAGTCCAATTTACAGATCGATTCAATGACCAGTTTTCGAGCTACAGGGTGCCAATCATTTGATTTTGACTGTTATGAATATTAAGCATTGATTTGAATTATGTGCTTTAAGTCGTGATAAGTCTTCAGTTGAAATAAACGCTCCACGTTTAATTTCTACCTCATGAATCCCTCTATTCGAATAGATAATAATATCACATACAGGGTATTGCATTCCATCATGACAAGGTAATATTCATGGGAATGGACAAATATTGAAAATATCAGAATTTCTCTTTTTACTCAATCACTGAAAACTTGACAAACGGCTAGAACCGGCCAATTATTAGACACACAATGGATATTGATCATGAACATAAGGATTCATATGATTTCCCCTGATACAATATCCGGTTTAAAATGAAATACATATCACGAATGGTTCATAACATAAAGTGGAGAATAAAATGTCTCATGAAATACCCCCACCAACCCCCTGAGTCACAACCATCCCAACGCATATCATTTCAATAGTAGCCCCTACTTGTGATACCTCATTGAATAGCTCGATAAAAATACATTCCAGTGGTTATTATTCATATCTCGAACTGGGTGAACTAACAACATATATTCATCACATATATCATTCTGCTAGGCTAGGGTGATGAATTAATTCCATAACTTTTCGTAGTATGAAAAAAATAGTTTATATTGAGCACTATAAAGACCTATTGCTGAAATAGTTATGTTCAGGTGATTCGAAACAATGATTTGTGTACAGTCGTTCGATGTAGCGAGAGATCACGGCAATGTACGGAATGTCTAGTTCCAACTTCCAGGTAAGTAAATGATTATGTTTTCATGAGATCAATATCGTGTTGAACAAATCAACTAAGTATTGGTAATATTGAAAGTAGCCAATTTTCGAATATAATTCCAGTTGCAAGATACATTCAAACGAGATGATAAAGATGATTTGAGCCACAATTGTGAAACTGGAATTGAAAAACGTATCATGACTATTTGAGTTCAGGATTTCTAGAAAGACTAATATAATATATCAAGTATATAAACTATCATTATTTTGGAAACTTCGACAAATGAACCTTGAAAATATAAAACAGTGGTTATTACACTTTGAATTCATCCAATCATCTTTCGCAGATTTATGTCAATATGAGAGGTTTCCAATAATGGGCTTATATCACAAAAAAATTTTATTTTATAATTCGTCAGAACTCACCCAAACTAGCTCACCACCGCAAACCGTTTTTTGCTGTGAGCTCCCTACGTTTTATAAAAAATTATTGAAATCCCCGATTTTTCGGACCTCTGAAAACGAGGTGATGATGTGACGTCAAAACCCTAATACTGAAACAAGACTATTCCAGACAGAGATGAATGATACATGATTTCTGACAAAGTGAATTAGCGCGAGATCACAGTTGAAAGAATTAATATATCAGTTGCTTCAGTCTCCGTCAGGAGTTTGGTATTTTCTTTTAACTATGGCGAGATGAGGTTTCTACGTCATAAGAGGGTCCGTTTTCAGAAGGTACTATTATTTATGTCCAAAAATAAAACATTCCAGTTAATTATTCGATCGAATTATGTCGTCAATCATTATTTATGTATAAAAGAATCATTATAAACATGGTTTGAGTTAAAAGTTCTACTAAGGTGTACACGCCCATTGTCCTGTTCAATGACTGGTTATGGAATGGGAAATGGCTCATCAGATATCAATTTCCTAGCTGATTATCATTCATGGTGTAATGTTGATGAGTTGATGAAAATGCAAGTGAGCCATGACGAAATTCATGGAATGTCAAATGATGATGATGTAGAATGATAAAGGTAATGAATATTTTTTGTTAGTTCACCCAGTCCGAGATATGAATAATACCACTGGAATGCATTTTCACCGAGCTATTCAATGAGGTATCACAAGTAGAGGCTACACTTGAAATGATATGCGTTGGGGTGGTTGTGACTCAGGGGGGTTAGTGGGGGTATTTCATGAGATATTTTATTCTCCACTTTATACATTATATAAAGAGTTATGAACCATTCGTGATATGTATCTCATTTTGTACATCAATTCTAAGCTTTCAAATTGTCATCACCCTATATATGGCAAACCGGACATTGTATCAGAGGAAATCATATGACTCCTCATGTTGATGATGAAGATTCATAGTGTGTCAAATAATAGGCCGATTCTAGCCGTTTGTTTCCAAGTTTTCAGTGATGGAGTAAAAATCGAATTTCTGATATTTGCAATATTTGTCTATTCCCATGAATATTACCTTGTCATGATTGTAAGCAATACCCTGTATGTGATATTATTATCTATTCGAATAGAGGGATTCATGAGGTAGGAATTAGACGTGGAGTGTTTATTTCAACTGAAGATTTATCACGACTTAGAGCACATAATTCAAATCGATGCAAAATATTCTAAACAGCCAAAATCAAATGATTGACATCCTGTAGCTCGAAAACTGGTCATAGGATCGATCTGTAAATTGGACTGTGCAATGAGGACGCTAATATCTGAAACATCAAATTTTCAGAAAAATTAGCCAAAAGCCATTTTCCGTACTAAATGTGCGGGGTCCTTTGGAATGGGGTTGTACACTCTAATCGAATTCACGCCACTTACCTATTTTATATTGATCAGTCCATGTGTAAATAGTAGTTGATGCTATCAGTCCTTATTTAAAATCATCTAAAATACGTTTTTTCATTAATTGAAAATCAGAACCTTCGAAAAACGCCAGGTTTCGTGACGTCATCAACCTGCTGGCACGGAGAATAGTCATCGTTGCCAAATTTATAGCCAGTAATTACCTATATGAGATACAATATCACCAATGACAGAGTATTTACGTTCGCAAAAGACAATGTAGCCACCTGGTTCCTGATAATCACTTAATGAATACTTATATACCTTGCAAGATGATGATTCAGTGTCAGTAATAATATCCTAATATTCGTTATAATGATCATAATTTTATTCAAACCCAAACTTTTTTGTGAGTCTGGCAACAGCGCAATCGTCGAAATATCAATAGAGAAGAAGAATTATTCTAACCTAACCTAGCGTAGGCCGTCTGGTTGGTAAACAAAAACAAATCAAAGACACGTTTGTTTACTTGAGGACTTTGCGGGTTTTGGAAGTCTTTTAGAGTATTATTTCATTGAGTCAGATTAAGTTTTGTTTAGATTAATTATGAATAATGAAAACTCACTGTGATTTTGAAAAGAAAATGCCAGTAACATGTATTGTGGTGGGACCATTTGATATTTATTCCTTTTCCTACTGTGATACTGTGAAAAACTCTGTGCATTACCCTCAGATGAAGGATCTATCAAGAAAAATAAGGGAAATGTGGATAGCAGCCATCAAGAGAAAGAATCAACAACAGAAACATTCATAATAAACCAGAGGATATGTAGCAGACACTATTTTCATAACAGGTACTTGAGAAAAAGGATTTTAATATTATTCATATGTACCTACCTACTCTAGAACTGATGAATTTAGTATTTCATGCTATTGAAAACATATATCATTTTTCTTTTTGATGAAAGAAGCCAATACTCATTACCTTTGATGGCCCTACATGGTTTGGAAACATCATGTTTTCAATACACACCTAATTTATTTACCTTGTAGGAGAACCTATAGTGCCTGAAAGATGAAAATCATCCAGCTTGGGCACTATAATATGGATCATCAATCTTTAGCCCATTCAAAACACAAGACTGATGTGGATCAGAAACTGAGAGCAGAGAAAAGGTTTAAATCAGAAATCCAGTAATAAAGCATCTGAGCCAAGAGACCTGGTATGTTCCCAAGAAAACATCTAATTACCTACTTCACTTTAATCATGAAGCCTTGCTTTATTAGTAAACTAGGTATATTGATATGTAACATTTTATATTCATTTTAGTGTAATGAAGAAAGTGTCTGGGAGATGAAGACATAGTAGAGATAATTGGTGAAAATGAGGTGAAAATCTACAATAGATTTCATATTATACTTTTACAAATTATAGTTTGTTGTGATTTATTTCTATTGATTATAAATGAAAAACAAATATAGTAAGTACTTATTTCAAAATTGTAATATTCAATTAATGAAAAATACAGTATTATTCCACAGTAGGTAATGTATATTACAAGAGATCTACATAGGTCATGAAAAAATCTTCATAGAACATTATAGGTATTCAGTGATCTGATTGAAACAAAAATGAACAATGGTAGAATGATATATTATAAATAGGTAGATATTTTTTTATAGAACTTGTTAAATCAAAATTCACAAAACCATGCCAACTTTGGTGTACCTAAAATATATACACATTAAAAATGGAACCATTTATTTCACTTTATCACTGTCACAACTATTCATAAGCACTAGAACACTTATACCCATGGACATATAAAAAAAACCAATAGATCATTTTTGCATGTACTCTTCTAATAACTCTTTCAACATGGATTCTCAGATATGCTATTATTTTGCTATTTTGTACTTCTTGTGGTGTAGATTTCATTTGTGATGATACACTTGGTGGCCTAACTAACTCACAACCTTTCTCAGTGTGGCAATATGTTTAAAGCCTCTATCAGCCAAAATAGATACATTTGTGGGTAACTCATTCAAATTGGTAGATTTTTTCACAATCTCTGTATCAGATATCCTTCCTCCATACCTATGCTTTAGGTATGAAATTGATGAATCCATTTGGAGTACAAGATAAAAGGAATGTCACTGAATTACAGCTTTTATATTCAGACCAGCTATTGGCCTGTATAACTGGATCTGGCTTCTCAATTTCAACTTGAAAACAGTCTATTATGCTCTGAACATTACTGTACCTAGCTTTAAATGTGATTGGGGTATTTTTTTGAATGTCTTGTCTATGTCAGGATGAAATACAAAATTCTGCAATACATCTGCCATCTTTGGTAAAAATTCTTTGGATATTGCTAATACTAACTCCAAAATCAATTGCAGCTAATCTTTGGTGTTGATCATTGAATTCTCACTTTTTTCAAAGTAATCAGACACTCTTCACAAGAAATGCTTCCCTCTTCACAAATAAGATGTACTATTATAGTCCCTGGATTTCCAAGAAACAATCTTGATAAAGTTCTATTGCATAAATTTCAGTTTCTTTATAACTGGCTTTGTATGTCTGTCTCTAATCTCCTCAGCAATCTCATCAAGATCAGTTGAACTGTTTAGCTCATATTTCCTTGTAGGAGATGAAAGAGATTCAGAATTGTATATGAACTTGAAAATGAAGGTTTCATACAACAAGGTTTGATCACACTCTTCTCCCTCAACTTGATATGATTCATTGGTTGGGTACATCATGAAAAGTTTTATTTTCCATATTTACACCTCTACTTCTGACTGAATGGCCCTTTTATATTAGTCTGAATAACTATTTCTTCCTCAACCTCAATGATGTCAGGAACTGATATAGATGTATTTGCTACATTTTTGGATGATGAGGGTTCTGCACTTAGTTCTGCATAATCTGATAGCTGTATTTTTCGTTTCTTCCAAACATTTTCCAGCAACTCTGCTTTCCTTTTGTTTCCCTTATCAGTCAGTACCTACACTTCTGTTCTTCTGTTGTATGTGGGTGGCGGTACATTCAAGAACTTGTGTGGCACTGCATGAGGTTTCAGCTTGAGTGTTGTTCCAATGATTTTGGAAAACATGCAATTAACTGAATTGTCTTCAAGCTGGAATATCGGAAAGTGACAAGGATATCACATTTCACAATGGGAACCCACATTGAAACGATCCTCACAGCAGTAGAGGTCATGTCCTGAATTAAATTCCAGATGCTCTGCCAGTTTTTCCTGCGTTGGGTACTAGCCGGGACGGTCGAAAACAGTTTTTCAGGCGAATTCTCACTACTATTTCGACAAATCGGTATAAAATATACGACTACCATATGTTAGGTTATACGCAATCTTCTTCTCCAATTTTAGTATCATTACCAAAATATTCATCTCACATATTTTGATAAATGACAATCAGAAATATATTTGCACTTGTCTAAGAGAGAGAGAATGGATATGTATGTCGAATATTATATGAATTGTTCACCGGCTGCCTACGTCACGCGCTTTCCCGCGTTTTTCATGTTACGAAATATCGTGTATTTCAATAATTATTTAAAAAATACAGAGCTCTGGGGAAAAAACGGTTTGCGACAGTGAACTAGTTAGGGTTAGTACTTCGGAATAATGAAATGAAATTTTTCACTGAAACAGGCCCATTGACTAGGCCATTACTTGATAATAGTACAAACAAAGATAATACAAACCATAGATAGTCAACGTCTGTATGAAAATTGGCAACGCTCTGATGGGATCTAACAGTCCGGCGGCTTATCGACTGTGCCGATCAAATATTAATATCGGAGTCCCTGCAATTCGCTGCCTTATAATGGATAGACGCGCACAGCGGATTACCACCGCTCTGTCTATTCATTCAAGTTAAGGCCACTCAACAGATCAGAAACCCAATAATAGAGAAGCACAGATTACAAAAATAAACAATAGTTACAAGTTGTCGTGGCTCAAAAAAAAAAGAAGTGGAAAATCAAGTCTATATACGAAACTAAAAATGGTTCTCTCAAAATATCTCAATTCATATGAACATAAAATGACGAGAAGACAAAGTAGTATTGAAACAATGGAGGTGTAATCAATAAGGTACATATAATTTTCTTCATGAACTTATGAATAAATAATTTCTTGAATTGACCAAGATTTTGCGAGAAGATATCAATATTACTAATTCTATTATCACTCAGAGCTGAGTTATAAGATTTAACACATCTGTGTACAGGAGAATTCAGAACGTAATTTGTTCTACTTTCAGGAGTCAGAAGGAGACTTCTATTTGTAATGATATAAGGAGAACAATTTTTGGATACATAGTGAAGACAGTATCTAGAATGGATAAGGTTATTGTATAGTTTGTATATCAGACAAACATCGGAAAACTCTCTTCTCTGACTTGAATGTTGAAGTTTATGAAATTTTAAATTGTTTTCATAGGAAAAGTTGTACCGTTTTCTATTGAACTTGTAGATTAGTTTGTTGATCAATTTTCGTTGGATATTTTCGATCCTGTCTTCCTGTCTACATAAGTTCCATAAATTTGGTTCCAAATTGTTGAAGCATATTCCAAAATTGATTCAACAATCGAGTTGTATAAAATTATTACCGATTCTGATTTTTCAAAAGATTGTGTGGCCCTTAGAATGAAACCCAAGTTTTGTTAAGCTCTTTGTATAGCATTTTCAATATGCACATTGAACTGAAGCTTATACTTTGAGAGTTCAGAGTAATTTGAATGTGATCAGCAGTGAATTACCAATCAACTAATCTACATAGTAATTTCGAATCATTGCATTCTTTGCACGATCTTGCACATAGGATCAATTCAAGGATTTTATAGAGATCTGGCAACAGCGGAGTGATTTCCAGCCGTCAGCCAACCAATCAAATTGCAAGAAGACACTGACATTACAGCTCAATTGCGTTTGAATTCACAGGTATTGAAATAACATTTTCAATATTAAATAATTCATTTGTTGTTCTATTTTCCAGATAAATATGTGGTCAAGATAACATTTTTAGCTTTCCTTCATAAAATTATAGCAAAAAAGGGTAAAATTTTACTTGATACTTGAAAGGCCCATTTAAATACAGAGCATTTCACAAAGAGAAGAGACTCAGTATCTGATTTTGATTTTCACACCATGCTGCTTTCATTAGCATTTTAATCATCCTATAATGAAAACACAAGGCACATCACAGACCCCACAAAATACAGGGGGACATACAAGGTACATTGAATGGCTTTTGCTGAATCATATTTTTTTTTTTTCTATTTTACCACATACAACCCCAAACGCCCTTCTGTTCACAACGTTGCCAAATAGTTTGATGATCTAATTGTGATCTCCTTATTCTTCATCATCTGCGGACGATTATTATCAAATGCATTTTAAAATCTGTTTAAAATCTGAGATCAATATCCGTTTTTACAATACAGGAAGCTAACATGCCATGTTTCTGAGATTTATGTGAAGAACTAATTGTTTGTGAAGTTTTTTACATTCACTATGGATTTCCATCAAGTCGATAAAAGAATGGAAAAACTAAATGTAATGCTTACCTCTGTACCAGCTTCTTGGATCCTGGTTGTCAGTGATTTCAATTTATCTTCAGGAAAACTGACTGCTGGAGTAGCCCTTGAGATGAGGGGAATAATGGTGATACCAGAGTGTCCACCAATGACAGGAATATTGACATCTTTGGGATTGAGACTTTTTTCTTGAGCAATGAACGTATTCGCTCTGACAATATCCAGCGTGGAAATTCCAAAAACTCGTCTGGGATCTAATTTTCCAGCCTAGTAATACAAACATATCATTCAATACACATACAACTTATAATCTCTTCTACCTTGATAATATTAATGTTGAAATTCTCACAATAGACAGAGTGAACACGTTTCTTTTTGAAATGGGAAAGTTGGTACTAAGGGCCTATTTCTGCATCATTGTCTTTGTCATTATCTTAATCATAGTCTCAACCAAGGTGGATAGAATATTAACTCATTATATTTGAACCTTTGTGCATCACAGTCTTTAGGCTTAAGAATTATGATACAATTGACAATTCGTCAAAAGTGTCAACTGAGGTGTCAATAATGCCACCTGCCAATTCTAATAGTTTGTTTTGGTGCAGGTTTTTGAGCTAATTTTGAGGATTATTTGAGGTTATTGTTTTTTTTTGTGAAACCCTCTTACGAATTCGAAAATGGAAGTAGATAGAGATTTGTCATATATTTATTTGAATCTTGCCACTCTGGTTTGCTAGATGCAAAAAAGAAAGAGGGTCAAGAAATTCGGAGTTCGTCCTATTAACAGAAAAAGAAAACACAAGGTTTCTTCACGACTTTAGTGGAATCAATGAAAACACAACAACTTGATTTTATGAATAAAACAAAGACTGTGACTAAGACTAACACTAAGACACTTCCTTTATAGGGTAAGACTGAGCATTTTTAGGAAGAGACATCATGGTCTTTCATAACCACATAGGTTTCACGGTTGTTATTGAATAAGAGCCTTGCGGTTTTCACGTTCCTATCCTACTTTTTGGTGAATCTCAAGATGGCCAAATCAAATTTTGCATAACTGTTTCCATCTATGTGATACAGGGCTATTTTGAAAATCAATATTTTTAGGACCCCATCTATATCTACGTAGTTATAAGGAATAATGTTGAGCAAAAAACTATGTCTAACAGAGAAATTTGCGCAGAATCCAGTTGCATATTCGACATTTTTTCTGGGTTCGGTTTTGGAGATACGCCACAATCTAATATGTATATTATCCCTGTATTTTACTATTTCGCTGAATACTCTATTTTTTTCTCTTCAAAATAATAAATACAGTGATGGTAAAATATGCGTCAAAAAATTCTAGAGCATTCCCAGCGAGCACAAACATCCCTGGGATGTTTTGGGATGTTTTGAGAATGGTGGCATGAAGATGTTATTTTGAGACGTAATATGCACTGACCAAATAGGTCTTTGAAGGATATTGAAGTATTGTTTTTGTTCTTCTGTGGCATTTCTCTGTTTGCCTACTGAGAGGCATCCCTGGGATGTTTTGGGATGTTTTAGAAATGTAGGCATGCATGAAGATGTTTTTTTGAGGCGTAATATGCACTTCCCAAAGAGGTCTTAGAAGGATATTGAAAGTATTGTTTTTGTTCTTTTGTGCCCTTTCTTTGTTTGCCCCACCACAACGTCTCATGCTTACGTCACAATACGATGAATTCTGATTTGTTTTCGATTTTGTTCTTCTTGTTCGCAATTGGCATTCGCGTTTGCAGCGTGTCACGCTCACATCACGCTGCTAACGAACAGAAAGGAATTTGGTGAAGTTTATTGTGTTAGAAGACCTATTTAGTTTGTAATAATGATCATCAGATGCAAGATGTGTTGTTCGGTGCCTCAGTGTAATCAATATATAAAAGTAAGAATTTTCAATACACAGCTTCTTCGCAGTTGCAAAATTATGCATTGTGGAGAACATTTCAAAAATTGGGAAACCTATTTCCAATTATATGTCTGTGTGTAGTAAGCATACTACTCAGAAACCGATTAAGAAGGTAATTTCATGTCAAGAAAATATTTTTATGTTCAATCTATTTTTAATGCATGTTTTCATTCAAGGAAAATGGAATCCTAATGCAAAAATTCATTTTGACAAAAGGCTTCAGAAAAGTACCTCGAAGATGTTTTTTTACAGCGATTTAATGTGCGCAATCCGCGTTGAAAATGTTTTGTTGTGTCCATGAAAAGGCTTTAAAAAGAACTAGGGAGAAGGTAGTTTTGTGACATATCAATGACATCTCGATAGTTGCCGGCTGCGGCGGACATTGGCTGTTCTATAATAGTTCTATTCATGTGTGAACAGAACATCGCGGTGGAGGTTCAATGTCTCGAAATCTCGTACTTTTAACATCTCTGAGATGTTTTTGTGCTCGCTGGGTTGAAATTAGTCTAATGCAATATGCATTGTGTGTAAAGTTTCAATTGATTCAGTTGCATGTACTAATATTCCATATGATAATAGTTGCATTGCCAATAGGTAGGAGGTTTTGATTCAGTGTATTTTTATTTGAATTCGTGTACTTAGGAGTTATTGCAGTGTATTCTTATTCCTTCGTCCTGAAAAGGTGGGGGAAAACCAGTTAGGAGATATTGAACGTTCCGCGTCGATATATCATTTCGAAGGGGGAAAAATAATGAATTTAACGAAATGATGAAATACAGGATGTTCCATAGAAAAATATATAACTTTGTGTCGAAACTCTGAAACCAAACTCAGAAAAAAAGTTTTTACGCCACTGGATTCTGCGAAAAAATCTCTGTTAGACATTAATGTTAGCGCAACATTATTCCTTATAACTTCGTAGATATAGAAGGGGTCCGAAAAGTATGAATTTTCAAAATCGAGCTGTATCTCATAAACGGAAACAGATATGCAAAGTCTGATTCGTCCATCAAGTTTCAATAAAGTAGGGTAGGAGCGCAAGGCTCTCTCAATAACAACCGAGAAACCTGGCAGTCCCAAACAAAATGGGATGCCCTATACAAGTTCTTATTCCAACAAGATGTTGTTGAACATTTAATGCGCGGTCTACGTGAATCACCCTGTACATAGCTTTTTGATATCATTAGGAATTCAAACAGTGATCCAGTTCTGAGACCTGAGGCAGAAATATCTTTCTATTCCAGGCCCACAGTTTCACTGAATGGTTGGCCATATTTCTTCAAAGAATAACATCAAGATAACTAGTATCTTTGATTTGTCAGATTATAGAGTATAGTTAGATATTTTATCAATGTGTTTTATGCCATATTTCTGTCATTCAAACCGAGATTTTTTTTGAAAACTGACTGAATTCTGGATCCATCAACAATTTTACGTAATCATCATTTCTTTCAAAAACACTCAGGAAATCAAGTGTGCAATAAAATAGTTAATTATACACCAAGGTAGTAAAGAATATCAGTATTACCCAGGGACCAATCCCGAGGCATTAGCCGAGGGGTATAAGGTCCAGTGGTAATTATATTATTCACTACCAAGGTGTATATTGAATTTTGTTTACCACTAGCAATGCATTTCAATCATTTTAGTTCTGTGAAACTGAAATATGAACCTATTGTCACCATGACAGCACTTCTTTTCGATTCAAACAACATTCATTATTGATAAAACCTCCTAGATTCGATTGCCATTGATGCGAATTTAGCATCAGAACAGTGAATTCAGGTTAATTTTAACAGAGGTGGCTATGTCTTCATTGACTAGTGGTTACTAAAATGACGAAAACTACCTTGGTAGAAAAAACACACTTTACGCCTCAAAAAGGGTAGGTTTTATAGCTAGTAGAGGAAAAAATACTTTAAAAATCAGATATTCAGTTAGTCACAAAAATATTCATGAGAAAGAATAGTACAGAATAGATACTTTAAGAAACTGGAGCTCAGCGTTTTTTTGATGTATTCGTAAAATATAGAGTACGGATACTTTGCCAGGCACATTTAGACGTGATCAAAAAAATATATGTATTTTAATCTTTTATTTTGTCCTGCTTATCTACATCCAATTCCATTGCATGCGAATACATTTCATAAAGAGAAGTTTGATTCATCTCCTGTAAAAAACCTTTATCTAAGCAATGCAATGAACATATTCATGTTCTTGTTTAACAAACTATTTGTGGTTATGTCGGACTGTCACTACTGGTCGAGTGTCCGTACTCTAATATGGAAAAATACATTGAGGTACTCTGAAATAACAAACTATCAAAATCGGTTTGCTAATTTCGAGCGCATCATGCTAGTTTAGCTAGTACAATATTGTAAGCTGAATAGTTTGTATATCCAGTTATATCCCATCAATTGCAATAAAAATAAGCGAAATATTCAAAACATACCAATTTGACATTAACTGTAAATTGTATTTAGAGCTGGGTAAAATGAGTATAATAAAAAATTGATAGAACATTTATAGGCTAGTCAATGATCAATAATATAATTTATATTTTTTGTTTTAAAGGGAGATTGAAGAAAATAATTTGAAATGAAAAAAAAATGGATATCATCAAATTTTTTTTATGATTGGGATTGGGTCAAATCTATTGATGTACTGAATACTTGATAAATTTTACCTTCTTCAAAACCTCGCACACAATAGGAACAGCCGAATTCACGGGATTAGTAATAATTCCAATGAGAGCTTCGGGGGCCACTTCGGCAGCACATTCGGCAAGTGACTTGACAATACCAGCGTTTGTATTGAACAAGTCGTCTCTTGTCATACCTTGAATCAAAATTGGAAGTCAGGATTGTAAAGCTTATATCATTTTGGCACTTGTGAGACTGAGGTATTTTCATTCGTTTCCTCAAAACAGGGACCAAACTGACTCATTCAATCCCTGGGACCAAAGTGTACTGTCCACTCTTCATAGAAGTCAAATTAAGTTTACTTAAGGTTCAACTAGAAATGAAGTAGTGCTTTCATTAGCCTTCTTGAATAGAACTTTGATTTAGCTCTAACAATTTCAATTCTATACCTCAAAAAAGATATGGAAACAGCAGGCCAATTAACAGGAACGGACGGTTCAGTGGGACGGAAAAATATTCAATCTAATTTCATCATTAAGATTTCATGATGACCCAAACTACACTCACCGGCAAAATAATCGATTCATTCAAAATATTCAATGAAGTTGGAGCATCGATAATTTTGTTAATTCAAGTCCAGTGTTATTAAGGAGGGGTGAAAGAACTTACAGTGACAACTCCACCACATAAACAATTCAATAATGACTAACGGTCATGGACATAAGGACATGTTTCGAAGGATTAATCCTTCATCATCAGCAAATTTATAAAAAGAAAATCTGTAAGAAGAAACAACGCTCATTTTAGTTTTTAAGTATTGATTAAAAATCTTGATGTACCTACCATTATTGGTGGAAAAAGATTACTTATTAATGATGAAATTAGATTGAAGATTTTTCCGTCCACTGAACCGTCAGTTCCTGTTAATTGGCCTGCTGTTTCCATAATTCCATAATTCCAGCATTAAAATTTGAAATTGACAGTGAGTTCATGACGTTTCATATTGCACCCTAGGCTCACATTCTTTCCTGATGACATCTTTTGCAAGTCAGACTACACATTAATTTTCATATGATCCTGTAATATCATCCTAATTGGACTGATTTCAGCAAAATTGAATGCAGATGATAAAATGTCACAACTATACCATTTATTTTGAAGACTAAAATCAGAAGGAATTGAGAGAACTAATAATAAAGTGATTGTGATTCAATGAAGCTGAGGATGTATTATTATTGAATAATTCAACTTCAACGAAAATCACAAAAAATCTGGAATAATGAGAAAACACTGTTACAAAAGGACCTAAATAACGAAATTCAGGCAATTCCATAAAAGGAATGATAACCCAAAAAATAGAAGGGGAGGGTTCGAGAAAAAATTATTGTGTATAAGAATGGGGAAGTTTCCTTCAGATAAATTTCCATTAAATAAGTTCGGAACTTTACAGTTTCATTTCCACGCTGTACAGAATGGCGACCGATAGAGTCCAAGTCGTTTTCATTTTCAAATTAAAGCAATTTCTAATTTTCGGGGCGGCAAACTGTGACGTGCACTCTGAATCTAGGCTGAAAATAGCTGATGGTGAAGAATATAGCTAGCGAATAGCTAACGAATCAAAAACGAATGAAAAAAATAAGAGTAAAACTGGTGAACAAAAACATACAAACATACAAATGCACTCGGAGCAGGAATGCAGAGGGTAGTTGGCTTTATTCTGACAAGTTATAGTTTTGTTATTTATGCATTGAAATATCTCGAATAAAGCTCGATCCTAAACGAAAATATCATTGAATCAATGAATCACTATCGGCTACATTCAATGATACTATCCTTCCTAATTTACTGTCATCGGTCAGAACAGAATGAAGCCGACACCCATGGCTTCTTCCTCTTGTTGTGCCTGTCAGTATTTTGAGTGGTGTGGACGGACTAAAAGTATTTGGCGCTGTTGCAAGATATAATCTGCAACTTTCTTAGAAAATAGATCCGTTTTATCAAGGAACGAATTCATTAGTAAAAAAATGACTGACAAGTTATAATTAACATAACGATAGTGAAAAATTATAGATACTATCGCAAAATATCATAATTTATCTTCATTAGTAATCAACTTCATTCAGCCAATGAGAGATTTATGGGAATTATTCATAATACTTGACAAAGTAGGATTGAAGAACCTATTATATCCCATTGCTGTGATGATATAGTTACTATGCATTCAAAGAACAATTTCCAGAAAAAGACATATTGATGATGTCGGCAACGTCGTACTGGCACAGGGAATCGTATTTTAACTCTGTGTGAATGTGGATTTTCAGAAAATACTTCATAGGAATGGTGGAGGAGCCAAGTTCCTCTTTTATTTATTTCTTTCTGAAGTGAAATTTGATCTTACGAAAAAAAGAAAAAATACGTATATATAAATTTTTTACAAACTTTACAGTGAGATAAGAACCTCAATATAGGAAACTTCCCTATTATTTGATTAGTTCCAGAAATGTGAATATTATTTGGTATGGATCTATTTGTCCTAGCAGAATATCCCACAATCAGATATTATTATAATTATCTACATATAAGCAATTCACTGTGTATATTATAATATCGACACATCGGACCAAGACATCAGTACATAGATATCATGTTGGCAAAGAAAACATCTCAAAAATATAGAAAAATGGAAACCATAGTATCAATAGAATATTTGCAATTTATTCTCAATTTCTTTTGCAGATGTTATTGAAATAAATGTTATAGAAATTTTAGGTACAAAACAAAATACTAACGGAATTCCATCAGCTTTGTTTACATTGATGTTTCTAATTTTGTGATTATTAACAGCTGAATAATATTATGATGTACACAAATTTCGTGAAATAAAAACATATTTTTATTGATTATATTATGGAATATCAGTACAAAGCAGATTGAAATTATCAGCATTTATGTTGGTCAATAGCTTGACGTAAACAAAAATGATATAGAATAATTAATAGTACCAGGGATCCAAACACAAAGTTATCTCCACAATTTTAATAGTAATAAAATTACTCAATCAGATTATCATCATACACGTTTCGAGCTTAAATAGGCTCATCTTCAGTGAAAATTATGGAGAAGAAATGAATGAATGTAATATTTAGGTTCGAATTTGTTTTTTGTTGCCATGAAAAAGGGGAATCTTAGGTCCCAAGAGGCAGAGAAGAGACAATACCTTCCTCTACGTCAATTTTACGTGAATTTGACGTTGTGGAGATGACCGAAGAGATAACTTTTTTGATTCCTGGTAACTAACCACTCCACTTTGAGATACCATGGACTTCTACCATAGATTGAAAGTAATTCAGTAATGATTAGCCAATATGAATTGACATTATTATGAAATTATAAAGTGTGATGACATATTGAGCCAAAGGGTTCGTAGCATATGGGAAAAGCTCATTACACGATTTACAAAGAATATTTTCTGATCATTTGGGCATGTCTGATAAACACAAACATCGATTCAACATAAATTGGGTGACCACTGATACGACAGAAAAATATTCAAAAAGGAGGGTTAGATGGCAAGTCATCAAGACATTTTTCATCAGTTAACAAATATCCATTTTTTTCTCTTGAATAGTTTGGCGGAAGTGAAACCTATACATCTGAATGAAAAGGGCGATTTCTTCCCAATTTACAATTTCTACCATATTACAAAAAACAATTGTTTCTGCCATATGTCTTGCTACTACAATGATTTGTATTCATCAGTGTCATCAGAATTTCAAAAATATAGTGTTAGGGTACGGAAAATCTCTGTAACTCCAGCTGATGAAAATAGCGGGTCATTAACACTAACATCTAGTTACCTGGTTTTCTGGGAACACCAGCTGGAATGATTATCACATCAGCACATTTCAACGCCTCTGCAAGATGTTCAGGCCCATTGTATCTGAAAAGAGTAGATAGATTGAAATTTGTACAATATTCAAAACATCTTCAATGTAGAAGAAAGGCTGCACATTAAGCACTGAGTTATTTTAGGGTTTGACATTGTGTGGCAGGTGGAAGACGCATGAATTTTGTAAAGGCATTGCTCCGTTCCTAACGGTCCTAGAATGTTGAAAATGAATTGATTCGAGAAGAGAGGGATGGTAAGTTTATGTTCAACGCGTTTTCAGCCGCTATAACGGAGTTGTCCGCGCGAGAAGGTGTTTTTTCTGTGCAGATCTATTTTTCGAACCCTCGCTTGATAGTCCGTGTGCAGCGTGCCTCCCGTTCAAGGTTCAATATTCCTCTCCGCGGCCGAATTCCGTACATGAATTAAATTATTGCGTAGGTGGAGGCATTTCAAATGTGTTCACTATAAGGGATCCTCGGAAAACCGGCACTACCCCAGATAACAACTAGAGTTTTTCAGTAGCAATTCAACAAACTCTCAGGCATTCAATTCGAAAACAGGTAGGTCTCCTTGGTATCTTGCCTCATCTCCCTAAGAGACGATTTGAACTGGCCGGCTTGCTCTCCTGATCTGGCCCCTTGCGATTTTTGTGGGAATAGGCACAGTAAAATGCTTGAAGATCCAGTACTCTCACTCATTGCCGGCACATTTGATGCTGGTTGCCCTGATTTGTTTTGTGCGCAACCATAATGTCATTCCACGCGCACCATGTTGCCTATTTTATCATGATTTCAACACTGGGACACGAAATATCCATCAATCAGACATGAAACTCAATACGTCGGTACATTGAATTCAAAATCTGTTTTTTTTTTTTGGATTTGCAAGTCTCGGATTGTTTAGATGTTGAAATTGAAATAGTGAACATCTAACCCAACATCAGCTGTCCACATCGAAGGCGCGAATTCATTACTGCACGGGAGATACCCTTCAGATTTTTAGCTACTAAGACACTAGATCACAAATGACATTCACGTTATAGGCTTTATTCCAAATTCAAGTGGCAGTATTGAATCTGCTGATTTTTCATTCCGAAATTTGAAAAAATCTATGAAAATCTATGACAAATAATTGAGAACAGACATACAAATATTTCGACTCAATATTCTGCTGAAATTGCTGACTACCAAAAGGCAGTGTGGCTCCAGTGAACTGTCATTATTTTAGAGAGGGAAGGAATGTAACAATTATTTCCGTTGTTTTTCAAACATTCAGTCTTGTCTTATTGATAATAAATCAACAACATCATATTTAATATCAGAAAATGACTGTTATTAAAATAATTGACGCTGAGAATGATATTCAAATTCCACCAGCTGATCGAATCAACTGCTGCTGATTACTGATGAAAACCATGAAAACGTGTTCCGAATTACAGCACAATATATTTGATTTTATATTTCGGAACTCAGATTTTCAGCAGAGTCAGTAAATTTACTGACAGGTCTGACCAGTTGAATTCGGGATATAGCCTTCTGGGCTGATGCCAAGAGTCAGCTGTTGCCAGATTTGATCTGGGTACAAAATTTTACTGGAAACCAATAACTGTTTTTATTAAAATGATTAAACTGTTGAATAGGTACCTAAAATCCCGGATAAATAACAATCGTCCCAGGACCCTGGAAGCCCGCAAAAACAATATTCGAGTTAACATATCAATGGAATTCCAGTGTCAATACTTGAAAGAGTCCACGATAACTTGAGAAAGAGGCTTACTCAGTGTTTGGCGTATTGGGTAAAACTTTGTTCAAACCCCACGACTTATTCACTAGTTATTTATCCGGCAGGAAACAAAAAATATTCGTCAACAATGAATACTCCAAATCAGAAGTAATGTATCATGGTGTGCCTCAAGGCTCTGTGCTGGGACCGCTTTTATTCATTATCACTATGAACGACTTCCCAAACTTTATGCTACCCATAAAAACTATTCTTTTCGCTGATGACACAACCATTATCACATCCCATAAAGATTTAGATATATTAAACACTTTGAAAACAAACGCTGAAGAGCTTGCTACATCATGGTTTTCAGCAAATAACCTCAAACTCAATCCAACCAAGACACAAAATTCACATTTTTCTTCCGATAACCTGATTCCTAGTAATAATTCCGCGAAAATATTGGGCATAACCCTAGATGAGAAGCTTTCGTGGTTCACTCACATATTAGAAGTACGAAACAAGTTGGCACGAAATGTCTTCCTTTTTCGACAACTCAGGCAAATAATTAGCTTTGATACATTGAGAACAGCTTATTTTTTTGTGTGTAACTCACATAATTATGTTATATGGTGTGATTTTGTGGGGAAACTCTCCACATGCCCATAAAGTATTTGTGCTACAGAAAAAGATAATCAGAATTATTTTTGGAGCAGATTCCAGAGATCACTGTAAGCCTTTATTTCAACAACTTGGTGCTATGCCATTGCCATCATTAAATGTGTATCAGAGTCTAAGTGAAATACATAAGAGGAGGGCCGTGTTATATACCAACTCAGATATTCATGGTTATGCCACTAGATCAGCCCATTTGCTACAAACCCCTCGCTATAGACTGAAAAAATCTGAAAAAAATAGTTTGAATTTATCCCTATACAATCAGCTAACTATGACCGTGAAGTTGTTTAGTGATTCTAAATTCAAAAATACGATCAAGTCGTTTATTCTCAAAAAATGCTTCTACAGTGTTCAAGAATATTCGGATTCAAAAATGTCCTTTGATATACTTACTGAGTCGCTCACTAACGAATTGTAATCTCAACTTATTTTATTTTGTCAAATGTAAGCATTATACTTAACTTTATTTGGCACCTTCATCCATGACTGATTTATATAATGATTCATTTTTATTATATTCTATTTTAGTTATATTCCAATTTATATGTCTGTCTGACTACTATGTGTATTTGTTCTTTATGAGTATTTGTCGTTAAAGGTATTTGTGTTAGGAAGATGAATATTATCTTTGTTAAATTTTGACTTGCACTAAACATTTACATGTAACAGTGTTAAATAAAGCCTAATAAAGCCTATCAAACACCAAGTAATCTCAAATTTTGTTGATGAATTAGGAAAAATCAAATAAGTTCATCATTTTGTAACAGTCTGCATTTTGTTCCATTTTCTAATTCATGTGTATGCATTGCACCCCCTGGACGCCATCAAAAATTGATTATTTGATGATAAGGTGAATTCCAAAATTTCACATTATTCTTCAATACATTACACGTATCACCTGATTCAACCTTTTGACTCAATTGCCAATCGTCGTCAGTTTTCAAAATTAAGAAGGTGAAATCAATCATTTTCCTTTATCAACTAGAAATTCTGTTAATCAATAAGTTTATCACGCCATTTTGATGTTGATAACAATCGCTAAAACTGGAAATTATCTCATCCAGGGCCTTGAATATAATTCACGCACTCTTAGTTTATCATTACCGAACAAACAATATGTTTTTGTCATGAAATCAGTAAGTGCCGCAGCCATCATGAGCTGACCAAGACATCACCATTTTCAAAACGTTTTAAACCTGTCAAACGAAATTTGAATCTCAGTCTCTTTCCTCTAACTCACTCAGTAATGTATTAGTGAACCTCAGTAAAAAGAATCTTCGAGTACATATAGCATCATCCATAAATTCCGTAATATATATGGGAAAAACATATTATTAGAGTATCGACACATTTTTTTCTCGGTGATCTATTATGAATGTTCAATAAACTAACCGATTCTGACACATGTCACGTGATCACTAATGTGGCGGTAAATTGAAAATAATGAGTATGAAAAGGCATAAAGTGTTGATAGATGGCAAAATATGGGTGCTGTAAACCAAACTGGAAAATAAAGAAAGCCCAGGAGGCTGAGGTGTAGCTAGTGACAGGACCAGCACCCAACGAAAAAAATGAGTTATTGGAACAAGTTGCTTAGAATTCAATTTCATACTAACATACAGATATTCAAGTAATTAATCAAGAAAATTGGAAATATCTAGTTTTTTATAATATTTTTCGATATCATTCAAATTATATATTGACATTTATTTTCTCTCCTGAATTGGTTGGCTTGACAGTGGTAATACACTTATATTTCAATGGAAATAAGAGAAAATTCCGATTTCTTTCACACTGCAAAATATTTCAGAAGTAATAATGCATGAAATTTAAGAGGCTCATGGTTTTCAAGTTTAACTGCAAAGCGAGTGTATATCATCACAATAGTGGCTGAATTCTGATATATAACTGTTAGATGTTAACCAATGTCAGCAAGGGTCCTGCCAAACACTAATTTCTTCAATGTCTTGCTATCTAGAGCAAAGAAAATGAGATTGTTCTATTATTATCATCATAGAAATGTAACAAGAGAAAGAAATATTGAAAAAAAAATATTTTGAATCAGAATTGCTTGTAACTCTGTATGTATGAATAACATTGAATTCTGAACAACTTATAATTCATTATTAAATAAATAAGAACTTTTTTCAATGTATTGCCATTTAACCCCACTTTTGGCCTCTTCCTAGTATTTTTTTTTTCATTTAACATGTGACAAAATCGATTTTAAGGTTATCGGACATGCATAATTGATTCCAGAAAAAAAATTTTTTGATACTATAATAATAAACTTTTTCGCCATATGATAGTGATTATATGCATGCATCTGGATATTTACACTAAAAGCTCAAACTGAATGAAAATTACACATGTCCTGATGCAATCACCATAGCGTCGCTAAATGTTTCATCAATTATAGCTGATTATCTCTTGTGTCTCACTCTTATTTTGTTTTCAATTTCTCTCTCTCTCTCTCTGTCTCTATAGGCACTATTTAATATATTATCAGATATTTGCTTGGAACATACCCTGTAACTTTGGCTGCAGTCTCAATGTGAGACAAATCCGCTGCTACACCGGGAGTGTGTACGACATCATAGAGTGACAGCTCACTAACTAGTGGATTTATCTTCAGAAGAAGTGATAGCGGCTGACCGATACCACCTGATGCGCCACATACTGCAACTTTATAGTTGTTCTAGAATATAAAATATTCATTAATAGATTCTGATGGTAATCAGTGGGAAGTACAGGAGATACACACATATCTCTTTAAATCAATTATTTTTCAAGACTCATTAGATTAAGTTGCAAATTCTTATGAAACAAATTTGTTCCATCGCTACGATGTTCATAAGCAAACACATCTGCTACATGATATATCTGAGATATCGCGATGACGGAACACTGCGATATTATGAATTTTACATCGCTGAGATGTACAGAAGGAAACACATCTGTGACTTGGCATCTCTAAGATGTCATGATGGGGCAACAATGCGATATTACGAATGATGCATCTATGCGATGTACAGAAGCAAACTCATATGCGAGACTTTTTCAAAAAAAAATTATTTAGAATCTTGTTCTGTGAAAAAGAATACATGAATATACGTTACTCAACAAAGTGAAGCTAAATTCGCAAATATTCGTTACATTGCTATCACACTATTCTTGGTTTGCTTACATCTCGCCGACACACACTACATTTTTGATACAAATACGAGTTACAGATTTCATTCTGATAGAGAGTCGTAGATACCAAAGGATTGCGCCGCTGATAAGAATGTAAGAAAATTGAGTATACCATAATTTAAGGCTTTTCATTGAACCTATTATAATTTTTTTTTGTTGATCATTTTCTGCAAAAATATTCCCAAATCCAACATGAACTTAACCATTGACCTAGCAGAACCAAATCTCAAATTGAAGGATAAAAATATTGAGTACAGCATAATTTAAGGCTAATTTTAAGCTCTTTATCGAACCTATTTTAAATTTCTTTGTTAATCATTTTCTGCAAAAATGTTCCCAAATCCAACATGTACATGACAAACAAATAGCAAATAAAAAAAGTTCAATCACGAAACTAATTATATCATAATTAAAGGCTAATTTAAGGCTTTCATCCTAGCCCATTGCCAATTTTTTCGCACATTGTTACTTTTTGAAAACATATTTTGTTTCGTTTTAGATGTATGACAAACTGACATTTATCATACAGGGCGTGGAAAGAAATTCTGAATTGAGAAAAACCCAATCACGAATCTGCGATTGAAGGTCTATAAAAATAACAAGTTTCCATCGTTCAAGTTTGAACCCCTTGATTGGGTATGAAAGTATTGAAAAGGAATATTCTCAGATATATTATAAACATGAAAAAATGGATACATTTGAATAAATACATTGAGAATTCGCATTCTCTATGTGATGAAATTATTAATTCTTTCTCGGCATATTCAACAGAAAACAACTACTTTCCTGGCTATATGCCACGACGAACATTGAATTATATCAATTGAACATACACGATAGGAATTTGAGCATAAAATGAATATCGTCTGAAATTGAGAATTGACATTCTCTTCCAGAATCGGATGAATACTATGATGAATATAACGATATAAAAAATATATTACTTACCAAATTGGTATGAAAATTGGAATGTATGGGAGAAATATACTAGTATACATACTCTGTTCTTGTTGAGTCGTGAATTTATCAAAAATCATCCGTATCCATGATGTTTGGGATATATGCACATCTCTTTCACATAGGTTAGATGATTTTGATTCGAATAAAATTCATTTCGAGTTTCAAACTCTCCTCAGTAACCTGAAGTCCAGTCATATTCATTTTATGCTCAAATTCCTATCGTGTATGTTCAATTGATATAATTCAATGTTCGTCGTGGCATATAGCCAGGAAAGTAGTTGTTTTCTGTTGAATATGCCGAGAAAGAATTAATAATTTCATCACATAGAGAATGCGAATTCTCAATGTATTTATTCAAATGTATCCATTTTTTCATGTTTATAATATATCTGAGAATATTCCTTTTCAATATTTTGCTTCCTTAACCATTACGATTTTTTTGTTACACATAGAAAATCAAAGTAATGTTCAATCACAAAACTAATTACTCATATCATAATTTAAGGCTAATTTGAGACTATTGCCGATTTTTCGCACATTATTGTTTTAGGGTTTTGCTAGCATTCCTTTAAGATCTTGGCTCTGGCTCTGGGCTCTTGGAGAGATGATATTTCCTGAATATTTCCGAAACGCCATGTGATAGATAAAATGATGTAATTGGGTCCAAGAACTAAACACTCTGTGCCCAATGCAGTGAAAATAAAATCATTCAAAATTTTCTTTCTGGAGTTTAATAAAATTATAGGGTGGGACTAAACTGAATAGTACTCAAACTTTTATGTATGCATATTTTTCGATAGTGTAATCTCGGATTATGAAAATTTGCACATCTTCACAGGAAAAAGGTGTTCTTGTTTTGTATTGATCAGATGAAAGTGAAATAGATTCAAAAAAATATTGTTACATCTCACATAAATCGTAGTGGCTATGGAAAAAATGCAAAAAACTGGGAGTATGTTTACATCAACGTTTCCCTATTTTACGTGCATATATGATATTGTTTGATGAAAAGGAAGTAGTTGATTTTTTTATGATGATATATTGATGGCTCAGTAAATTCTGTCAGAAATACGCTTGTGATTTCAGATATTATGCAAGATATTATGTTAATGTTGAAAATATTCATTGACGTTTCCATTGTTACCCTGTTTAGATCAACTTTTTTTTTTGCAAGTTGACTGCGGATTAGCTCTAAGAATTAATATTTTGTTGAAGAACGTCTTGATACAACTCCTTTAGATGAAAACAAATCAAGGTTGGCAGGATATACCAGTGATAAATATCCGGATATATATCTTGATAAATATCATGATATTTATGCGACGATATTTATATAATTTTTTTTTTTAATTCTATTGATCAGTATAAAAATATGGCCACGCTGGCGCTGCACCGGCAACAGCGTATGCTGAGGTGATTCCCGGTGACCTTTCCGCATGGCATTTTCAATTGGTTTCGATTACTGATTGAACATTGGAGTTGATTGAACGGAAAAATGAAAAAAAAAACAGTTTGGGTTCATTTTGATTTTCCAGCCAGCCTTTTTTGTTTCTTTTATTGTTTAATAATAGAAATAGTATTTTAGTTGTTATCTTTTGACTGTAAGTTGTTGTGTTCTCAATTTTTGTTTTTTTGGTGAACAACATTAAGGCAAAAATATACAGTGCGTCCATAAAGTAACGCATAAATTCATTATTGGCTAAATGAACAATAAAATTAGAAATTCCCGAAACAGGTCGATTTTTGATTTCAATTTACTATTGTTTCAAATCATAATCTAATATACAGGGTGAACCACTTTCGTGTAATGACGTCATCACCATTTTTTTCAAATGGAACCCCCTTTTTTTTCAATTTCAGAATTGCCCTTGCTGAGCTGATTCCAAAAATGTATAATATGTTGCTTCAAATTGGTACAGGGTGGGCAAAAATGCAGCCAATTCATTGATGAGACGTACTTTATAAGGATGGTATTTTACCTTTTTAAAAATGTTTGATACTGAAGACTTTCCAATACCAAAATCCCTAGATAATCCTCGCACTGTACAGTGTAGATTTTCTACAGCCGACAAAATTATGTCTTGTTGAATATTTTCATCAATTTTTGGCGAGATTTTTGGTCTACCTCGCTTTGCTGCATCCCTCACATGTCCTAATTCTCTGTATTTTCGCTCTATTCTACTTACCGTAGATTGTGAAATAGGTTCACGATCTGGGTGCATTTCATGGAATAATCAGCATACCTCTTGTTGAGTCCGCATCTTATCGCCAATACCAATCATCATTAATATTTCAATCCTGTCACTTTCGGTTAAAGGCATTTTGTAAAAAAAGTTCACGAACGTACCTTCTCTAAAGCGTTAACAATACGAAACTGTGCTTCAATGTTTTTGACAGTTTTGTCAAATTAAAAAAATGGTAAAAGATAATGCCAAACAAAAAGATTTTTATAGTCCACGGGCTTGGATCACTAATAAAAGCTGTAAGATACAATTATTAAGAATAATGCTTGATGTTCTTGATAGTTTATCAAAGTATAACAATACGTAATTTCATTGAATGTGTTTATTACGTTTATTCATTATTTTTATTACTTTGTAAGTAAATTTTTGCATTTTTGCCCACCCTGTACCAATTTGAAGCAACATATTATACATTTTTGGAATCAGCTCAGCAAAGGCAATTTGGAAATTGAAAAAAAAGGGGGGGTTCCATTTGAAAAAATTGGTGATGACGTCATTACACGAAAGTGGTTCCCCTGTATATTAGATCATGATTTGAAACAATAGTAAATTGAAATCAAAAATCGACCTGTTTCGGGAATTTCTAATTTTATTGTTCATTTAGCCAATAATGAATTTATGCGTCACTTTATGGACGCACTGTATTATGTAGCTATTGATATTCATAAACTTGTATTTTTTACCAACATTTTACATTCCTATACATAAGAGCACTGAAATTTGTTATTGTGATAGTAACTTTCATTGAATAGAATAGAATTGAAATAAAAATGTACCTAACTACATGTTTAATGTTTATAACATTATATTAAATTAACCAATAAGTAATTTCGAATTTTGAAAAATATCTTCAATTCTCCAAGCATAACACAGAGGAAATAACTAAAAAATAATTAAAAATTTTAAAATATAAATAAATATCCAAATTTTGATATACAGTGTGTCCCGTGACTCGATGGCCACAGCTTAAGTGCATATTCCTTGAACATTTTCAAGTCGAAAATGCCTAAAACACTTCTGTGACAAAATTAAATAGTTGAGTAGTTATGAGAGATTAAATAACAACTTTGTTCACCAGTAGATTGCAAGAGGTGGTCCAGTTCTTTGACAACCGAGGTCACTTGATCACTATTATTTTTGGGGACACAAAAGTCTAGTGTTTTCAAATAAACCATAAACCAGAGATGAGCTAATTCAAAATATTATGACTATACAGCTGCATCCATAAGAGACGACCCAGATACTCTTCAGAGAGCAAAGTTTTCAAAAATTAGACGTTCGAGAATGTGTTGTGAAGCAG